CTTCATGACCAAAACACCAAAAGCATTGACAACAAAAGCCAAAATAGACAAATGGGACCTAATCAAACTCCACAGCTTCTGCACAGCAAAAGAAACAATCATTAGAGTGAATCGGCAACCAACAGATTGGGAAAAAATTTTTGCAGTTTACCCATCTGACAAAGGGCTGATATCCAAAATTTACAAAGAACTAAAACAGAATTACAAGAAAAAAACAAACAAGCCCATTCAAAAGTGGGCAAAGGATATGAACAGACACTTTACAAAAGAAGACATACGTGAGGCCAACAAACATATGAAAAAATGCTCATCATCACTGGTCATCAGAGAAATGCAAATCAAAACTACATTGAGATACCATCTCACGCCGGTTAGAATGGCGATCATTAAAAAATCTGGAGACAACAGATGCTGGAGAGGATGTGGAGAAATAGGAACACTTTTACACTGTTGGTGGGACTGTAAATTAGTTCAACCATTGTGGAAGACAGTGTGGAGATTCCTCAAGGACCTAGAAATAGAAATTCCATTTGACCCAGCAATCCCATTACTGGGTATATATCCAAAGGATTACAAATCGTTCTACTATAAGGACACGTGCACACGAATGTTCATTGCAGCACTGTTTACAATAGCAAAGACCTGGAACCAACCCAAATGCCCATCGATGATAGACTGGATAGAGAAAATGTGGCACATATACACCATGGAATATTATGCAGCCATCAAAAACGATGAGTTAGGGTCCTTTGTAGGGACATGGATGAACCTGGAAACCATCATTCTCAGCAAACTGACAGGACAGCAGAAGATCAAACACCGCATGTTCTCACTCATAGGCGGGTGTTGAACAATGAGAACACATGGACACAGGGAGGGGAGCACTACACACTGGGGTCAGTTGGGGGGAAATAGGGGAGGGAGGGTGGGGGGTGGGAGGCTGGGGAGAGATAGCAGGGGGAGAAATGCCTGATGTAGGTGATGGGGAAGAAGGCAGCAAATCACACTGCCATGTGTGTTCCTATGCAACAATTCTGCATGTTCTTCACATATACCCCAAAACCTAAAATGCAATAAAATAAATAAATGGGGAAAAAATAAATAAATAAATAAAAGCAGGAGAAGTGAAGGAAAGAGTCTCAGGGTTTGAAGACTGGATTTCTGAAACAAGACAATCAGACAAGAATAGAAAAAAAAAATAATGAAGAGGAATGAACAAAACCTTTAAGAAATATGGGATTATGTAATGAGATCAAATCTGTGACTCATAGGCATCCCTGAAAGGAATGGGGAGAAGAGAAGCAACTTGGAAAACATATTTCAGAATATCATCCATAAGAACTTCCCTAATCTAGCTTGAGATGCTAACATTCAAATTCATGAAATGTAGAGAAACCCAGTAAGATACATTACAAGAAGATCATCTCCAAGACACATAATCATCAGATTTTCCAAGGCTGAAATGAAACAAAAAATGTTAAAGGCATCTAGAGAGAAAGGTCAGGTCACCTACAAAAAGAAGATCATTAGACTAATAGCAGACCTCCCAACAGAAACCCTCCAAGCCAGAAGACATTGGGGGCCAATAGTCAACATTCTTAAAGAAAAGAAATTCCAAGCCAGAATTTCATATTCAGCCAAACCAAGCTTCATAAGTGAAGAGAAATAAGATCATTTTCAGACAAGCAAATGCTGAGGAATTTCTTTACTACCAAACTTGCCTTACAAGAACTCCAGAAGGTAGCACTAAATATGGAAAGGAAAGATTTTTACCACCCACTGCAAAACACACTGAAATACACAAACCAGTGACACTATAAAGCAACCACATAAACAAGTCTGCAAAATAACCAGCTGATACAATGACAGGATCAGATCTACAAATATCAACACTAACCTTGAATGTAAATGGGCTAAATGCCTCAATTAAAAGACACAACCTCAGCAAACTAACACAGGAACAAAAAACCAAATACTGCATGTTCTCATAAGTGGGAGCTAAATGGTAAAAACTTATGAGCACAAAGAGGGAAACAGCAGACCATGGGATCTACTTGAAAGGGGACAGTAGGAGGAGGGAAAGGAGCAGAAAAGATAACTACTGGATCCCGGGCTTAATACCTGGGTGATGAAATAATATGTACAACAAATCCCTGTGACATGCATTTACCTATGTAACAGACCTTCACATGGACCCCAAAATTAAAATAAAAGTTAAAAAAAATAGTAAAGACACAGAATGGCAAGCTGAATAAAGGACCAAGACCCATTGGTTTGCTGTCTTTAAGAGTCCTATCTCATATGCAGTGACACATATGGACTCAAAATAACAGGATGGAGGAAAATTTACCAAGCAAATGGAAAACAAAAAAAAAGCAGCAGTTACAATCCTAGTTTCTAACAAAACAGACTTTAAACCAACAAAGAGAGAAAGAAAAACAAGAAGGGTATTACATAATGATAAAAGGTTGAATTAACTTCAACAAGAAGATCTAACTATCCTAAATATGTACCCAACACAGGAGCACACAGATTTGTAAAGCAAGTTTTTAGAGACCTTTTAAGAGACATAGACTTCCATACAATAATAGTGGAAGTCTTTAACACCACATTGAAAATATATACGCACCCAATACAGGAACACCCAGATATATAAGACTTATAAAGAGACTTAGACTTCCACACAATAATAGTGGGAGACTTCAACATCAACATTAGACAGATCAACAAGACAGAAAATTAACAAGGATATCCAGAACCTGAACTTAGATCCAGAACAAGTAAACTTAATAAACATTTATATAACTATCCACTTTAAATACACAAAATATACACTCTTATCAGCACCACGTCATACCTACTTACAGGTTTAAATGAAATAGTGGTTGGCTGCTTGTTTGTTATTTTCTTTCCTGATTTTTTCCTGTCTCCATTAATAAGCACAATTATTGGTATAAAAGAGGCTTTCAATACCCATTTTTAGACAGCATTTTAGCCTGGGCAATAAAGCAACACTTCCATTTTCTCTCCCTCTTCCTCTTTCTTCCTCTCCTTCATTCTTTTCTTCTTTCTTCCTTCCTTCCCTCCTTCCTTCCTTCCTCCCTCCCTCCCTCCCTCCCTCCCTCCCT